CCACACCTACCTCGTTTTCAGACGGGGTGACTCTTAGGTGACATCTGGAGATGGGATTTGCAGTCCTGTCTCAGCATGGATTGGTCCGAGGGGCGGGAGAGCCCAGTGCGTGTGATTGAAAGAAGACTCAGGAACTGCTCATGCCGTCTATTTTAAATAGAAATGTGATGAAGAAAAACTATGTACCTAATGTGTAACAAAGGTCTGTCTAGCCAGGTGTTTCTTTGCTATTAAAGAAGCTGATGCATTTGAATGGTGTGTAGAGAAGCCAATGTGAAGTGTAAATCTTTAAAATAAACCAGCTCAAATGTACTAAGGCCTGACTGACCATGAGGCCTGATGAACTGTATGATTGGCAGGTGCGCACAGAGTGTTTTGCATTACTCCTTGGGGAATTCTATGCCAAAAAAAAAAAAAAAAAAAAATTCTGCACACCATATTTTAAAATTCTGCATATTTTATTTGTCAAAATAATGCAATATAATCACACTAGTTTCAATTATTTTGATAGTTGCTGATAGGTAGTTTGAAATAAACTATGTTTGTAACAATACAAACAAAAAAGATTCAGGAAGTGATTTTTCACAAATAGATTCCTTACTAGACATTTAAACACAGAACTTTGAGTAATAATTCATTTAAACTACAATATTGAAACGTATTTCCCGCACCCCTCAGAAGCAGTGCAAAGGCTTCGGGGAGCCAGGGGTAATGAAGGAGCTGAGGGAGAGGGAAGTAATTGCTGGGAAGGAGCCTGGAGTGAACTTTGAGAGGAGTTGGGTGTGAGTGGGAGAAGTATGGAAGAGGTGGTTTTCGAGGGAGAGGGGAAGAGTGATTGTTAGCGATTTGGGGAGCCTCCCCAATTGAACCCTGGCTCACCCTTGGCCTCTCCAATTGAGTCAGGCACATCTGCCCTCTATCCCCGTGTATCCCTGCATCCCCCCCATCCCTGTGTTCCTGCCCCCCTTTCACACCCATGGGTCCCCACATCCCCACTTGCATTCCGTTCCTGGCTCAATGTTACCTCACTAGCTCCTGACACACACACACACCCGGAGCCCCATTTTGTCCATCTCCCCCATATTCCTTCCCTCCACAGCTGACCCCATGGGCAGAGAACTGTGAAGTATCCTCTAATTCCCTCTTTCTCTGCCTGGCTGCTCCAGATATAACCCACTGCCCTCTCTTCTGGTGCCACAGCAGCCCCTAGAGGGAACAAGGTGTAATTGCAGTGCTTCTTCAAAATCAATTATTTTGGGGTGAAAAATAATATGTGGAGCACATGAAGTTTGTGTTTGTGGAGTGGCGCAGAATTCCTCCATGAGTATCGCATATGAAGTGACATCACTGACGTAATCATTGACGTGTAGGGAAAAATCAAGCTCTGGTACAGAGGTGCGTAGAGCTGTTAGTGTTCTTTCATCAGATGTTCTCTCCTGTTAGCCATGCCCACAGACCGTGCAAATGAGTCAAATCACTGTATGTGTCTCTGGTGAACTACTCCAAGGACAAAGCCATCCAGGAGTGGAAAGAGACTTTCCATAGAGATTGTTGGAACTTCTAGATGGAAATTTCTGCTAGGGATGTAAATACCGTTTTAAAAGTTAACCGTTTAAACGATTAAAATGTCATTTAAATGGTTAACTGTTTAAGTGTCTGGGGTCCATCTGACTGGGGCTGGGGCTTCTCTGGCTGGATGGTGCTGTTCCGGCTGGGCAGCGCTGCTCTGGCCGGGTGCCGTGTCTGGGACTGGTCTGGCCGTGCGGTACTCCTGCAGCCGGACAGCACAACTGGGTCCACTCCGGCTGGTGTACTGACTTTGCGAGTGCTTTTTATGTAGCCTGTTGTAAAACTAAGCCACTCTCTAGATGAGATGGTGTACCCCCTGGAAGACCTCTGCATACCCGAGGGGTACATGTACCCCTGGTTGAGAACCACTGACCTAAGTGATTGTCCCAAGGTCACAGAGGGAGCAAGTGGCAGAGCTAGGAATAGAAACCAAGAATCCTGTAGCCCAGCCCAGCCCCGTAGCCACAAGCCCAGCCTCGCTCCCTCATTCAAGGCTCCGAATGCCCCTCTGCATGGTCTGGCCTGGCCCAGAGAATGCAGCAAGGCTGCAGCCCATGAGCCCCTCTGCCCCAGGAGTTGGGCTGAGAGGACCCAGCTACCCCTCCCTTGATGGCCACCTCAGTTGACGCTTTGGGCATGCTCTTGCTCCGGCACTGCTCAATGATGCTGGCCTGGTTGGTGTTCAGATCAGGGTTGGGTCCCTCCTTTGAAATAGGACAGAGAGGGGGAGACACAGTTGGGATCCCATTCCAGGGCAGTCCTGGCTCCCAGCCCCCACTGCTATAACCCACCAGCCTCCCCTGCCCTCCCAGAGCCAGGGATAGAACCCTGAGGCCCCTGGAGACCCTCCCTATCGCAAACCACCAGTCCCAAGGCCCTTCCCCTCTTCAGCTACTGTTAGCTGTTACCTCAGGCTGCCTGAACCACAGGGACTGGGCTGCCCCCCCCCCCATGGGAAGCAGATACCCAGCCACATTAAGGGAGGTGCTCTGGGGCAGAGGAAAGGTCCAGTGGAGAAAGGATGAGAAGGGGAAACACTACCCCACAGACCAGCATCCTCTGCTCCAGCAGCCAGGGATGGTGCTGGCCTTGGGCTAACAGAGGTTAGGGGCAGCAGAGTCAGTGCTAGTGATCAAGGCTGGGGTGGCAGGGCTCTGTAGCACCCCCTCTGGTTGGGTCTGGGTCCATGGGGTGCTGGGGGCCCCAGCAGTCTCTGCATCACCCCCTGTAGCTGGAGCAGGGCCGGTGGGGGCTGGCAGGGCTCTGTAATGTCCCCTCTGGCTGGGGCTGTGTCACACACACAATTCATCCCTTCTTTCCCCACCGTAGCTTTCACAACGAAGCACAGCAGGGTGAACTTTTGGAAGAACCGGCTACGCTGGGCATCCGGAAGGCCCTTGATGTATTTGACCTTGGACCACTTGTGGCCGGCATAAGTAGCATCCGTGGTGTGCAGGGTATGGCCCGATGGGCGGTGACCAGGGGTAGCCAGCCGGGGTGTGAGCACCAAGGCCAGAACACAACATCTGTATGGGGCAGATGCCCTCCCCATGGTGCTGGGCAGGGACATGGGTGTGAACTCCTGAAACACACACATTACATGGCTGAGTGAGAGCTCCTGTAACACACACACAGACACAGAGCACAGCATAACCCTCCTGAAACACACACACAATACAGCCATGGGAGAGCGCCTGGAACCATCGGTGCTAGAATTAGGGGTGCTACGACACCCCCTGGTTTGAAGTGGTTTCCAATCCATACAGGGGTTACGGTTTGGTTCACTGGCTCTCAGCACCCCACACTATACAAAGGGCTCAATTCCCGCACCTTGCCTGTAACGCGCATAGACACAGAGCGAGCGCTGCTCTGACACACACACACCATACATAGCCTGGGGGGTGATCTCCTGTGACACACGCACCAACATCACACAGCCTGATCTTTGTCTTTCTGTGACACACACACTGCCCCACTAGTTCCCCCTCCCCACCCCGAGCGAGAACCCAGGAGTCCGGGCTCCCAGCCCCCCGCAGCCAGCTCCCCACGGCGCAGCGCCCCCCCCCCCTCACAACCCAGGGGCGTGGACCGGGTTGTCCTGTAACGGGCTCCTGCCGTCCGGGCACCACGTGCAGTGAGCCCCCCCCGGCGGCCGGACTCGGGACCCAGGCGTCCGGGGGGCTGGGCCGGAAGGTCCCTGCACTGGGGCCTCCCCCGCTGCTGGAGCTGGCGGCGCAGGCGCGGGGCCGAGTAGGGAACGCGGCAGGGCCAGTCCAGACACCTGGGTCCCAGCCCGGCTCGTGCGCAGGGCGGGTCCCGGCTGCAGCCCCAGGGCGGGGAGCGGGCGAGAGGCGGCCCCGGGGAGGCACCAGCCGCGGGGCGGGAAGTCGCTGCCCGGCTGGAGGAAGCGGCCGGGGCCGAGCCCGGCGATGGCTGCAGCGGGGCCGGCGCAGGTAGGACGCGGGGCGGGGACTCCCCGGCCGGGCACTGGCTGGTCCCGGCTGCGGGCCGAGGGGGGCCGGGACCCGGGTCCCTCCCGCGCTAGTGACCCCGGGGCCGGGGGCTGCAGCAGCCGGAGCGCTGGGGCCGGGGGCGGCTCTGGGGCCCCGGGGCGGGGGGGCCCTGGCCGGGCGGACACGCGGAGCCGGGCGCGGCCCCTTCCCCCGAGCGAGGCCCCGGCCGGGCAGAGGAGCCCGGAGGCGCCTGAGCCGGGGCGGGAGCGGGGCTGAGCACAGGCCTGGGGCGGAGGCGGGGACTCCGGCCGGGGGGGAGGAGCCTGTTCCCGGCCCTGAGATTCGGGCCCCTCCCAGCGCCCCGCCCCGCCCCAGAGCCCCGTGGGGAGCCGAGGGCAACTCCTGTCCCCGGCCAGCAGGGCCCCGAGTCCCTGGGGGAGCTGTG